GCACTTGCCTATTCATAATTAAACAATCATTCTCTCTGAATGAGCTTTTTTTTTCCAAGAAGGAARTAACAATTCTAGGATAAGTATTCTGACAACTCTGAAGGAATTTTCCTGCTGATAAATGTGGATAACTGCAGAAGGTCACTCTTTCCCTACAGTATTATTTCTGACAGTATGCTGACCATCTTCCTATTGCATATGTGTGTGCATCTTGCTAATACTTTAGTTGTGATTTTTTTTTTCTTTTTTTTGTCTGAAAGAAAATTCAAAAATGTTAAGAAAAGTGGAGGATATGTGATATGCATATGGAGTATRAAATTGTCAGAAATAGAGTTCAAAGTTTGTAATGAACTGGCCTTCACTGGCATGTATCATACAGAAACCTGCTCTTCTGATGTATCAAAAGATACAGGCAAATGTGTGTAATTACTAGATAGGCAAACATTAGAATATCAAATAATAATAATAATAATAAGAAGAAGAAGAAGAAGAATACTGCTTGGTGAGATTCACACTGTCATTAAAATATGATGTTGTAGTTTTTGATTTAATTTCTCTAAATAAAGTTGAAAGATTGGGAGCACCTCTGAAAAGAGCTAAAAGGATTATTAGAGTTAAAATCCCCCAAGCAAATTAATTTATCCATTACAAAGGTCAGACTATTAGCAAGCTGCCTATTAATAGAATGTGCACAAGGAAGACATTTCTGTTAGTAGACCATTCTTTAATGTATTAAAAAAAAGTGCAAATAAGAAATAGAGGCTAAAGCTGTACTACTTTAAACTAGTAATAAGAATAAAGATTTTGATCAGAGAGATCAGCAGTCATTGGAGTGATACCATGGGGGATATGGTTTTCAACTTCTTTTTTTCAAATAATTTCATTTCTGAATGGTTTTTTTTAGGGACCATACACAGCTTTTCATCAGATGTTTTTCTGGTGGTAGTGTACTTGCTTTTTTTCTTTATCTTTCCGAGGTATCCAGGTGTCCACAAACAAACCTAAGCATATGAGTTCTTGATTGCTGAAAGTCACTAAGTGCAAATAAATAGTTTTCTGAAAAGTTCAGTTAAWCAGATCAGATTTTGGGATGTAGAAATTGTTGGGTAAGGTCCTGTGGTGTGGATACACAGGAGTGTAATAGCATTTTACTAATAGCTTCTCCTTCTCCTCAAATGCATTAATATTTGGGGGGGAAGGAGGTTCTCTTTACTGACAAAGTGCTCTCTGCTGTCACTGTGGCAAAACTTCTTTCTGCGCCTCATTTCACATTCCGGAGTCAAAAGCTTCTCTATTTTGCTTTTGCTTTACTTTCAGGGTATTCTACACCATTGCCCTCTCTCCTTTTTTTTTATTCTTTAAATTTAGTTTCATTTTGTGAAAGTTCATTTCTGGGTTTGAACAGGAATTTTCACAGCTAGAATGTCACTTCAAGATGAATCTTTGCTGTATTTGGAGGAGATTAGTTCTGGGTTGGTAAAACTACAATAATTTTGCCTATAAGTAGACTATCATACTCTGCAAAGAAAACTCCCAARTTTTCTTTCCAAAGTACATAATAAAGCAGAAATATGAATTTGGAAGTGAAGTGTAAATTAGATTCCAGTGAGRAGCAGGGCAGGTGGTAGAATTTTGACTAACTCCATTGAAGTCTGTGTATCATGAAAAGCAGATTTCATTTACAGCTGATGATTCAATAGGAACTTGGCTGCTGGCATCTGACCTTTTGTTTCATACTATCCCCCCCTTTCTAAGGGCCCAGACGCCAAATAAAGTAACAGCAGGTACTTGGCCAGTGTTCACAGGTTCTAGATTGGACTCTTCTTCCTTATTGATCTAATTTTAGTTAGAAACAACTGACCTACTTTGCTTTCCTTTCCTACTGGTAAGTGAGCCTGTAYGGTTTGTACCTGTGCTTGTCATGCTTACACGGAAAGGCAGGTGCACTTTMATGGCCAAGATAAACTGTTGTCAAGATCTGTGACTCAGCAGGTACATGGGGTATCTTTGCTACTAGGACAGTGCAAGGAAGAGAGTTTTAGAAGTAGATAAGCAAATAAATTATTCACATCCGTGATGATCACATGTTTATGTTCCAGTTGCCAGAAAAATAAGAGTTAAATGCTAAAGGAGTATATGGTGCCATTAATTCCCTTAAAAACCAAAATATCGCAGTTTATTCTCAGATAGGAAGCAAAGAAAAAGATCTTCTCAAGTTTTTCTTGATTTGTTTGTTCAAATTTGTTTGTGTAAATGAAGCTGTGTGCCCTCATATATAGCCTTCCACTCAGGTTTGAGTACACTGTGTTCATCGTGTCTCACATGAATACCTCACTATAAAAAGATTAAATAACTGAGTGTAATTCCTGTCTTTAAGCTAATTTGTCTTTACTGCAATACATGTTAAAACCTTCATATKATATAAATTGGTCTGATAAATGTAATTTTTCTTAATTGTGAAAGAGTGGCTGAAATTCTCCAAACATGTGGAAATGCACAGTAATCTCATTATTACATTGATTTTTCTGCTATGTACAGAAAGGCCCATAGGCCTTGCACAGGTTCAGTCTTGTAAGGAGTTTTAAAATGTCATGTAAGTTTGGATGTATTTTTTTACACAGCCATTCTAAGATGGTGTTTCTTACTCTTGCAGTGCTTACCCATAAGCATTTAAAGAAATACAGCCAGAAATAATACAAATCCTTGAGCATTGTACTACTCAGGAGACRTTGTGCAGCTTTCCTCTTTGCCTTTGCTAGTTAAATTTTCACTGGAAGATAATGAAACTTCRGTACTATTCTATTAAAGCCGGATGTGCTTAGCTAAAAAAGAAGTATTTTATAAGTTTGTTTTGCTGGGCTGTAGGTGGAAAGCACAGCTGAGATCACACTTCTCAAAATATCAGTTGATTGCTGTGCGGTACCTGTTTGTCTGTTTCCTGATTGGGCAGAGCTGTTGCTGGGCTGATACCATTTTGACCAAAATTAGAAAGTCAATATAAACGAGTCAAACTAGACTGCCTGCTTTTTTTCAGTTCTCTCTTCTGATTCATCAGTTGTTTGTTTCAARTTTTTACAGCCTTTGTGAATTGGGTGTTGTGCCAGCAAAGGTGAAAGCTCTTAGTGGTTAGTCAGTAAGAATATTCATAAAAAATTGTCTTGATGACATTTAGATCCTAACAAAATTATGATGCCTAGCTCAAAAAAAAATGCAAGTGGGTCCTACAGAGAGGTATTATTAAATACATGGATGTGAAAACCATTTCCTCACTTCGGAGACTGCTTCTTCTCATGTTCAGAGATAGCACTCATCTTCTTGAGAGGATGTTATTGCCAGTGTCTTGTGTCAGAGGCTTAAGGCATGAAACTTACTGATGAAGGCATGTATCAAAGGAGGAATCACTGCCTAAACATCTTTTTTCCTTCAGTATTAGCATGTGTATTTTAACAATTTAGACTCTGCCTGCTTAACTTACGTTACTAATGCCATGAGGATTAGAATATGTATAAATATGATTACGATATTTGAAGAAAAACATCGCATGAATTGTTAGGCAAAATTTTCGGTTAGTGCAAGTACAGCAGGTTAGCAGCTGAAGGTAGATGGGTCTGATGTACTTGAAGAAATGCTGTTACTTTACCTCTTAAGATAAAACTACAGACTTCTTAAAAATGATTAGGTTTTGATGAAAGTAAAAGAGGAAAATGTTTTACCTAGTTTAAACTTGAGTTACTTCAGAATTTCCGAATTTTTTTTTTCTTGTCACATACTGGTGGGTAAGAAAAAGATGTGGGTGTTGTTGAATGCCATTCACTTAGGACCCACTAGTCTTGCCACAAAGAGGCTTTATCTCAGGGTACAAAATGAAGGTCAGGCTAAAAAGTGCTTTAGGAGAGCAACTTGGTTAAATCATGAGATCTCAAGATACCTTGCAAAAATAGAAAGTAGGTCTCATTCAGCAATGATAAAAAYAAGAGGGTAGGAAGAGCACATAAAATCAGAATAAAAACTCCAACAAAGCACAATATGAGGTACAACTAGAAAAGGACATAAAAACAAACAATTTTTTTTATAGTACAGAGGAGACAGCAAAGAAATAATGCTGTAGTGTTCAGAAAAAGGTGAGCATTACTAACAGATACCACTGTGAATAGTGAAGTGTGAAATGCCTTTTTTTRCTTCTTTTTCTGAAAGATTTATGTATGACCAAATGAATAATCTCTAGCCTGGATTCTTTTATCACTAAAAAACAATAAATAAGCTAAAGCTTATTTAATGTTTTCAAACCAGCTGATGAAATTTACCTTTTGGTGCTTACAAAAGGAAAAAAAGGGGATCCCAATCTCTGGGATTCTTTAAAATTGTGAAGAATGGCAAGGTTTTAGGGTGCCTGTTTTAAAAAGGTGAAAGARGAGGAACTGGGGAAATGAAGACTAGTGAATTTAGATTGCATTTCTGGTAAAAATCAGGAACAAATAATTCAGGTCTCTATAAGCAATTGGAATTAACAACAAAATGAGTGAGACCTAGCTTGCATTTAACAGTAACAAATCAACAGGAAGGAGTTYAACCTCTACAATCATTACCAGGCCTAGAAAATGTTGTGGTCTCTGCCCATCACAGCTGACATTTGCTTACATGAAAGATTAGTAAATTCTGGCCCATATGATTATTCTAGTTATATAAAGTGTGGTTTTAAGACGTTTTAAGATTACTGTGGGCTTGGTAAAAATAGATGACCTGTACTAAGTATATCCCATTAGTAATTACTCYAGTGCTATACTAGTTCTGTCAGATGTTTTTGATTTCTTCTGTAAATCAGGTTATGAAAATTGATGGCATAAAAATGATTTGTAGTTGCTGTGTTTGGCATTCCTTCAGTTGTTCTGAATATGCTTTTATCTGAATTGGGAAGCAAATGAAGTATTATCTTCTTTTTAAGCAGCTACCACCTTCTGCTGTTTCCGTGTAACATGGTTTGTTTATTTATTTTGTTGCAGGATATAGTTATCCGTATCATCTTCATTCTTGGTAATTTAACAGCAAAGAATAACAAGGCCCGTGAGCAAYTTTTTAAAGAAAAAGAAAGTGTTAACACCTTGACATCATTATTCCAAACCTACTATGAACTTGATTTGAGTACACAGAGATGGTACCATGATAGAAAAGGAAAAGGAAAAAACCACCTAAAACATCCTTCAGAAGCAGAAGATGTTCTGATAAAACTGATAAGAGTGCTGGCCAACCTCTCMATTCATCCCAGCATAGGAGCAGCTCTGGCAGCTGCCCATCCTGTTGTAGGATTACTTGTTACAGTTCTAGGTAATAAAATTTATCTCGTGTTTGTTATCTTCGTTTAGCCTGTAAGGAGAGTTTACGACTTTTCATTGCAAAAACCCCAAAGTCAATTGGCTGATATTCATGAACTGTTTTATGTTGAAGGCCTGTTTGAGACAGTGTAAGCATTGTTGCTTTGGTACTGACTTTTCAGTATCTGGGGAAAGATGTTGTAGAAATGTTTAATTCAATGATCAGATTTGCAGATATGATCATTAAAGATAAGAAAACAAATTTTATTTTAAACACATCTCACTGAGAGTTAATATATAAGGAAAGTTTGTTCTTATCAGATTCTACATAGATGCGTTTGGTGGTTCTGGGTTTTTTTTTAAGGTTTACATTTTCTGTGAGTGTTTTGGATTAAGTATTCTTGCTGTTCTCTGTACCCATAACTTTCAGCCTCATCAAAGAATTCTCTCTTACTTTTTTCTTCTTTTTCAGTCTTCCAACCTTTTATCATTTTCAGATGGAAGAGTGTCTCCCTCCAAATGGAGGATTAGGACTGCAGTTCCTTTRCCACTTACTGATCCCCTTGTAAATCTAATTATAGACCAGGCCTGGGTCTGTTCTCCCCCTAACAGAGTTTGGCTGTGACAAGATACATCTTAAACAGCTCAGTACATTTTACTGTGTAATGAGAACATTAAATATTATGTTAAGATAATGAACTTGATTGTATACTGTCTACCAGTCATGGGGGATTAGAGAAGTCAGACTCACAACTTGGTACTGTCATGGTTTGAAACTGCCTTAACGTCTTAATGATTGTGTAAGTGCTTTTGACCTTCAAAGATTCTCTTTGCCACCCCTTCCCTCCTCTTGACCACTGTGTCAGTCAGTTCATTACAAAATGTTCTCTCTCTCTGTGAACTTACCCCTCTTTTATTTCCTTCACTCTTTGCTTCTGAGGCCAGAAACCTCAGATGAGTAAGTCTTTCAGACTTTTACCGGAGTTAACATTCTGTCAGGAGCTCTAAGAGAAAAACCTTTCCAATATTGTTGAAGGGTTTTTTTAAATTTTTTCCAAGATATCTGACATTTCAGTATAATAGTTCTTGGCATTTCTCCATGTCTGTCACACAGCCCTGTTTCTGCATTCTCTCSTCAGTGCCATCTTAAAACAGCAAACAGGATCAGTAGCATGTCTTAACTAACTAGATGTTAAACCATGTTGCCTCAGTCACAATGATTTCTGTAAATTAATAATGGGAGAGAGTGGTTTTGTTTGCCATTTTTGGATCAGGTGTTCCTGTTAGCTCCTGCCATGTTACTGGACAGCAGAAGGGTTGACTGTAATAGTGGCCATGTAAGCTGTTACTCAGTTTGCTTCTGGGATTAATGCACTGCAAAGTTAGACTCATCTGTGTGTGTATCTCCATATGCATATGTTTTGGTTTTTTTTTATTTTTTTTAACTTTTAGAATACAAGTCAGTCGATGACTGTGAAGAGTTGGTCATCAATGCTGCAACAACAATCAACAATTTGTCTTACTATCAAGTGAAGGATTCTGCAGTTCAAGACAAGAAGCTACACATTGCTGAAAGTAAGGACTTTTAAACTAGTACTGTAMTATTTGTATAGCTTTTAGAAAGCAGGTATATTTTGACAACAGAAAGTAAAGACACTGATAACATTTTGTTGTATTATATTGCAGGAGTATGAAGTTTATAACGCTTCATTCAATAATGATTTTCCATTCTTTTGGAAAATATCTCTATGACTTACATGAAAATAGTTGGATTGTCCACAAAACCCCTTCTTTTCCTCCCCAGAGGAATTTGCAGTACTATTTTCTGTTCAGCAGTTCTTGCTAGATATGTTCAAAATCCATTTACCTGAACCAAAATAATCGTGTTGCTTTTTACTTCTCATCAGAGTATGTTACCTTACGTACCTGCAAAATTTGATTTCTGTATGTTTCTGGCTTATAAATCCATTTGCAACATTTTATTGTGTGATTCTCTCCCTTCTGACATYATGGACAACAATCAGTTATATGTAGGAACTGCAACTGACATCTGGGACTATTGTGTTAATGCTGAACAAAAGGTAGAGAGTCCGTGTCTCGCTCTGTCTAAATAGACAAGACACTGGGGAGGGACAAAACCTGAARTTCWCACAACAGGTAGAACAAGGAGTAGGAAGCAATATCCTGGCTGTCAGCTCAGTGCCCAGAGTGGTAGGCCTCATATTCTCTCTAGGTAATAGCTCTGCTGTTCTGTCACGACTCATTTTATGACCTAAAAGCCAGCTGCCTCTTGTTGCTGGTGAGRAAAATGGGGAAACAAATGACTTCTCTCCTGTTCTTGTTGGCATGTGGAACTAGTCCCATCACCTTCCTGAAGTGAGAAAAGAGGAAACCTTTTGATGGAAGGCCAGCAGGTTTTCTTCTCCAGGAGACATTTTGAGAATACTTGCTGTTTGATATAAGTGGTGGATAAAAGCACTTCAGATGTCTCTTTAAGACAAGTTCAAGGTGTGTTCAGTATTGCAACAATCAGAGGCAGAAGTAATGGGAACAAAGCCAACCTCTCTTCTACTTTTTTTTCTCTCGCTCTTGTCTTGTATGAACGGTTAAGGGTGGACTTACTCAAATCCTCTGTATGGTGGACTGATTTCAGTGCTTTGCTTCATACTCACAGAAGACTGATAAATGTAACTTCTGTAACGTCACTCATCTGCCATGCACCAAAATCTTCCATGATGGTAGCGCTTCCTAGGAAATACTGAAGGTCTCATTCCCACTGCTGAAGTCACAGGCCAATCAAATGTGAAACTACTGAGCAGGAGAGCAGCAAGGAAGTGAATGTTTCAGATTGGGACAATATTAAGTAGCTGTTCAGAGAAAATGTATTTGCTTGTTATAGCAGCACTGAGAGAAAACAGAGCTAATGTCAGAAAATAATTTGAGTTTTAGGAGACATCCCACCATAAGACCATCTGTTCAGGATCTAAATCAAGTCTCTTATATATTACATTTTTTTTATTTTGTCTTCCTCGATTTTCACATGAGCCCACTCAAAACTGCATTACCAAACTGGCCCCCATTATTACAGCCATGCTTAGACTGTCTCCATAACTCCTCGTTTGTTCCTTTGCATTGGGTCCCATATTGTGAAAGTCCTACACAATTTCATTCTCGTTCTACCATCAGCTCACCCCCTTTGCTGCCCCCAGACAGACAGATAACTGCTCCCATTTATTGCATTTATCACTGTTGCTGTTTGCATTCTGATACTCACTGATAAAAAGCCAACCATGTATTTGTGATTTACAAGTAATTATTTTTATCTAATTTCTCTGCAAACCAATAGAGCTTTTAAAGCTGTTAATGAGTGACAATATGGATGCAGTTGTGGAGGCCGTCAGAGTCTTTGGCAATCTTTCCCAGCATCATGAGATCCGTGACTTCATCATGCAGAAAAACAGTGAGTTACTTTTGCATTTGTAGGAGTTCTATTTTTAAATGTCCACGGTTCTAAAAAGAAAAGATTGTTAATAAGCTGTCTCAGTTAAAGGGTAGAAGCAATCTTCCCTGATGTTTTGCAAATTAGGCAAACATTAGAATCCAGTAAYAGTCGTTATAAACACCATTTTATTTCAGTTTCATTAGAGTGAAAATAYTGGAGTAGGAAAAATATGCCATGGTGCCAAGGTTAAGTCTTACAAAAACTGATTTTCCTAAAGATTCAAATTTTGAACTTTCTCTTTACTCAAATTGCTTTTCAGTTCCTAAGATTAATAGTGATATTAAATGAAAATCCGGCTAAATTCTTGTTTAAGTTAATAATCCCAGATTTTTGATTCCTATATTGGACAGCTTGGTTAGCCCTTTGTAACATGCAGTTAGGATGTTTGACTGCCTCAGCAAAGACCTCCTGTTTACTTCTGGGTGAAGAAGGATACAAGTCTTGTCAAATCCTTTTGCTTTGGGTATCTAAAGAGCTTTGGAGGAAATGGCAACTCTTTGCTCTTCACAGAAGGTGTGTCATCATCTTAATTAAGCACCAGTTCAGTCTAATTTTTTTTTTTTTTTGGTCACCCTCTTGGTGCTGAAAGTGAGGTGATCATGCCACAATATGCAACCCTTTATTTCAAGGGTGGCACATCACCGTATTTGGAGGAGAAGGGAGGAGTAACCCTTAGGTGGCTGCTGGTGAACAGTCTCAGTCAAAGGGCTAAATTTTCCAAYTGGGGGAGCCTGTGGTATCAGTGTGCCAAGTTCTGGAATTGCTGAGAGGCTTCCTCTCTATGAGGCCAGGCTGGCACCCTGGCTGGGGTTGTCCCCATCGCTCCAGAGTCAGTGCCAGCAGGTGCTGTGGGACACTGCATGTCCAACACCTGCTCCATGCCTGGCTCTGGTGGGAGCCACAGGCTSCTGCGCTTCCAGCTGGACTTGGTGCAACCTGGAACTCCTGGGGCAACCCTGCCACTCACAGGGGAAAGAACTCTGAGTGCCAGATGCCAAATCCTTTCAGTTTCTGCTGACTCTGTGATTGAAAGGAGGGTGATACTTTCAAGAAATAAGCTGCAATTCAGTTTGGTCAACTTATTCTCTTCTGACAGGATTTTCACATTTCTTTAGTGTATTTTTATTACTGCAATTTTGCATTTGTTGTTTTAGAGAACGTTCAGCATGATGTTACTCTGTCACATGCATCCTCTACAAATGTCACAGTAGTAGCTACAAGGGTCAATTTCTGGATAGGGTATCCTACATTYGGCTGCTTTCTAAGTATTTGCTAAGTATTGACTGCATTTTTAATAAGTATGTTGTGATGCCATTTGTATGGTAAGTTCATCTTCACAGTGGTATTGTTTCCTTCTCTACAATCCAGTATACAAGTTCATGATTACTTTGCTCGATTCCAAGAAGCGAGATGTATGTTTTTTTGCCTGTGGAGTTCTGCTCAATCTCACAGTAGATAAGAACAAACGAGCTTTTCTGATGGAAGAAGGAGGAATTGGAAAGTAAGTTCTTGATTGAGCTGGAGAAAAAGGCARTTTTGAGTAGTTTGATCAAAAAGTTTCAATTGGATTCTTTTTTACTGGGGCCAGTAGCTTGTAATAAAGATAGCAGATGTTCAGCATCTAAAATTTTTTGAGAAAGAGCCTTTCACATAAACCAAACCGCACAGAGTAATCTCCCAAAGATCCTTGTTGATGTGCACAGCAGAGGGTACCATAGAAGAAAGCAGCTAAGGCACAGCTTAGCAGCAGCTGCTTATGCTCCACTCACCTGGGTCCTGYGTGGGCTACAGTTAACAGCGCAGTCAGTCCCCAGTGTATCCCCTGTAAGTGTGAAAATCCTTCAGGGACTGATATCCCACATGGTCCCTTGCAACTTTTGTAACCCCTTGGTACTGTAGGGGAAACTACCAGGTGATGTGGCCATGGCTCCGCAGAGAGCAGCTCCTGAGTCTCCTCTCTGTGAGTTCAGGTTTAAGGCACTGATACTGGAAGGGATATTAGACCTTGAAAAACCACTGTGCATGTAACACTTTTGGCTTTGATGTCAGATAATAGCGGATCCAGCTGAATTGGAGCGACATGCAGGATCATGTTCCCATGCTCRTAAAGCAGTTGGTACAGCCCATACTTATGAAACAATAAGCCTCACTTTGAAACGCTTTCCTGTTCATACATCATATAATCACTTTATTATACATTGCAAACAATGCATACTCTGCTCATCTTTCCTTCCCATGTTCTGGTTAACTTACAATATAAAGCTGAAAAAAGGAGAATAAAAATAATTTGCAGGCAAATTGAATAATAAATGTGAGGAAGTTCTATTATATTCTGTAGCCTGTAGAATCGTATAAATTCGGAGTTTTCTATACTGTGTCTAAAAATTTGGGAGGGAAAGAACAAAAAACTGTAACAGCATGGAATGAATCTAGAGAATTTGGAAGTAATTGTTAAGGAGATTATCCTTACCATACCAAATCAACTATATGGATTTTTGGAATTGAGGTTGTTGTACCAATATATAGTGGCTCTAACAAAATAGGGAATTAGTCTCATCAGAGGGTTAAACTTAAAAAAATTAGGGCAAGTTCTTTTGGCTTTTCATTACATGCTTCCTRTTGTTCCACAATGACTGCCTGCAGAAAGGAGAAAAAAGAAAACCTCTCTTTGGGTGCTCTTGAATTACTGTAACTTTCAGCCACACCTGAATATAATAGTTATCCTGTGTTCCCTTTACTAATCACCAGRTTGCATTACAATCTCTGCTTTAGTGATACCACAGATTTGGGACAGTCACAGATTGTAATGAAATTTGATGGAATTTTGGTGTCTTTTAAATGGTTCCATTTGCAAAGCATGTGAGTGAAATTGGGTTAGAAAGTTACAGGGGATGGGCAGCTGCAGGCAGGCACACACACGTGGAGGCAAAAGGCAGATTCACATCCTTAGGGAGCTAAATGAAAAGGGAAAAGTTGCTGAGGAAGAAAGTAGCACCTGAAGTTTATTAATGTAAAATTTTCCTGTAAACTTCCATGGAATGTGCTTACATTTCTAGACTGCCAGATTTTGAAGAGCTTAGGAGAAAATTCCATKGAACAAACCACTGTTTTTGTTTGGTGCTGACAGACTGGTTGACTGCTTACAAGAYTTTGGGCCGGCAGACTGGCAGCTCTCGTGTTTGATCTGCAAAACCCTGTGGAACTACAGYGAGAACATGACAAGCACGGCCTCCTGCTTCGGAGGAGACACCRACACACTGCTGGCACTGCTCACGTCACTTTTAGGTGAGACTCATGGTCCTGGCCTCTTTTCCTCAATAAAAGAAATGGAAGGAGCAAAACCAGAGCAGGATTAGTTTGGGTGGGAAGTGTGTCCTGTAGCTTTCAGTGGTTGATCAGTGTGGACTGTCCAGCAGCACAGTGGTCTCTGAGCAGCACACTCCAGGCTCCCTGGGGATCATGGCATTTCYGGGGTGCAGCAGGCTGACCTTTCTGCCTGGTCACCCTTCCTTTTCTCTCCATGGCTTCCTTGTGGACAAGGACAACATCCTGACCATTCCTCATCTGTTCCCTAAAGCCAGGGATGGTGTGCTCATTGCTCCACAAGGCTGAAAAGTGAATTTTAGGACCCTGATTTGCTTACCCAGGGGAGTCTTTTCATCTGGACATTTACTTTTGCTTCAAATTTTACGAAGTTTAGTGGCTGTGTAATAGTCCTCTAGTCAGTATATGTAATTTTCCTCCTTTATTTTTTGAACACTGCTTTGCTTAGGATTTTGTTTTGAGGTCACTTGCAATTATCTTTTTTWAAAAAATCTTTAAAATAGAAATTAAATTTAAGGAAACTAACTGGTTTTGATTCGGTTTTAATTGGAAATTGATTAAAGATGTATATGTACTGTCAGACCCAGACAGAACRTGAAATCTAGGTGGTCTCTTTTGTTGCAAACAATCAGAAAAGTGGGTGGATTTGTGAGGATTTTTTTCCAGTTACAGCAGAATTACTGATATTCACTGTTGTAGTAGTTCCTTGTATTACATTCCTTGCTATGATGGACTGGATCTTAATGTGAGCAGTAATTCCATCTATTTATCTGAAAATAGGAGTGTTTCAAGGTTATTACTTCACTTTTTGACATTCTGCAAGAGACTTGCAAACTTTACAGCCAAATCATGCTTGAATTTTCTGGTACACAGTGAGGGATATATATCTTTGTTTTTGAAAATACATACGTATTTTTTCCTCTGCATTTAACACTGATTATTCCAGCAATTGATTTGACTTGCAGAGTCTAGGCTGGATAGCAATTGTAACTCTCAATTAAATAGTATAACTTCCATGAACTGGAAGTTCTTGTACAATTGTAATTGCAGTTACAATTGTGATTGTAATGCAGCTGTAATGGTAATTAATTAGGAATAGGTTAGAATTAAATCAGAAGGCCAGTCTTTCTTCCTACTGTAGTCAGAACAGGAGCTGTAGAAAAAGCACATCTAATTCATTGGATCTGGTTCCTCTGTGTGCAGAAAGCCAACAAACCTCAGCAGTAGCAGCTGGTTAATATTGTCCTACATCTTCCTCCTGCCATTGTGTCCAGTAACAGCCTTGAACCGTCATTGCTCCGATTCTATCATTCAGGAAGCAGGAGGCAACTGCTGACAGCCAGRGAACTGTACTTGAGCGTCAGCACACCCTCAGGAAGCGGAAAAAGTGGAGCATGGCACAGCAGACACCTCACTTCACCTGCTGTGCATGGCCTCCTCCCCTTATTTTTCCCTTCCCTATCTGGCACAAGATGACAAAAGATACGAGGAAGCCAAAGGGGAATGGAAATAGCCTGAAAAGATGATGTGTCCAGGAGAAAGGTTGAACAAAAAGCACTGTTTGTTTTTTTTTTTACCCCTGCCTGATCCCAGCAGCCTAGGATGCAGTGGCCCTGCTTTCCAAGGGCGCTTGTCATTCACCTTCTTTCAGCTGCTCTTGAGTTTGATGTCACTGCTGGCTCAGAACTTCTGGAGGCTGCTGTGCCCAGGCCCTCCCCAGCAGCAGTGGAGATGAGCTTCTGTSTTGGGATCATTCTTCTGTTTGGTCTTTCAGTGAAATCCCTTTTCTTTCTCTCTCCAGATGTTTTCTTCTGATGACTTTTATCTCCACTATCAATTCAAGGAAGTTGTTTTGGAAGCTCAGTCCATGTCAACTCTGACATGACAATGACAGGAGCTTCCAGGGCTCCTGGCCCCTGTCTTGCTGATGTGTTTCAAGGATGAGCAGCCCCTCCAGACTGCAGGAATCTGCACTCCAGTCTCCAGTTTCCCCCACAGTGTGCAGGCCCAGTGTGTTTGTCTAGTTCCTGGGCTTGCAGCCAGCRCATATGCTCTTTGGCCAGGACCCAATATTGCTGGTTTTTGAGGAGAGTCGTGGGAAAATTGAATTATCTGAGGATGCACAGCTTGCCTGTGGAACACTGATCCTTGCTGATCCACGGCGTTATTCACGTTCTGCTTTGGGAAATTTACTGTTCCAGTTCAACACTTCAGCTTTGAACTGCTTCTGACCCTTGTTCTTGTAGGCTGGAATTCTTGACCTCAGTGATTCCATAAATATTCAGTCAACTTCTGGGGAACACAGCTGTCTAATAAAAGGGAGAAATGTCTCTTGCTGTGTGTTAGAAGAGAGTTAATTTGGGTAGAAGAAAACAGGAGTAGGCAAAGCAATTCTTCTTGAAAACAAACCCTGTAATCCCTTATTTTCCACATCAGGGTCTCTGGCTTCTCTGCTGCTGAGAYTGATTTTAGGTATGTTACTTTGTGTTACTTTGCCATTGATAGGACAAGAGCTAATGGGCACTGGTTGCAGTAAGACAAAATTCCAACTAAAGMTTAGGAAAAGAGATTTCCATCATGGCAGGGGTTAAGCCCTGGAACAGGTTGCTGTCCTTGAGGGTGTTCAGTACTCGACAGTGTATGGATCAGAGCAAACTGATAAATGGTTTGGAAAAAAACCTCTGCTCCAAAAGTTTCTTCCAACCTAAATTATTTTATTATGTAATCAAATACAGATCTGATGTCTGAGGCTGGATTTTATCTCTGATTACAGGTTTTCTTTCTGCAGAGGTATGATACCCTTCTTGAAAGAGCGGGTGGGTTTTTTCTTCTTTATTTTATTTCAGAAAGACTCTAAATGGCAACTTCTTATGCAGAATCCCTTTTGGAATCTCTCTCACAATCAGCATCTCTGTCATTTTGGTGGTTACAGTGTAGTGGCACAGAAGGCGAGTGCTGTTTGCAGTGGCTGGTAACTTTGTATGAGCTGGAGCCCATCTCCACACACAGGAATGTCATTTCTGCCTTCACACCTGTCTCTGCACATGCCAGAGCATCTATTGAAGAATCTATTTTCTACACAAAGTTTGACTCTAAATGTGGGTAACTGAAGTTTCTCTCCAGCCCCAAGTCACCTTTACCTGCTGGGACTGTGCAATGAGCTCCCTTAGAGAGTAATTTATTTAACACATTGTAAATCTGATGCTCTTTCATAGGGTAGGCCAAAGGTTAAGTCACACTGCCCATTTGGAGCAGGATTCCACCTTCATTCTAGGTCTATTTGTGGCCTAAAGCCTGTCAAATATCCTTCTGTTAAACTATATGAAAACATTTTTTCAGCACAAGCAGTTGTGTTTGTGGATTCCTGATTCAGGAGAATGCTTCTGCTTGCAGACAGATTTCTGTTTTCTCCAAGAGTTTGTCTCTTTGCCACATCCAGTGCCAAGCAAAATGGAAGGGGAATAATGAGTGATGACTTCCTTTCATTCCTAACACTGCTTGTCTTTAATAAAGACTGCGCTGTTGTTTTATTTTTGAAATTTGTGAGGAAGGGAGGGCATCAGTAATACAATAACTAGTGTGGTTCGGGTTCCTTCAGTGTGATAGTAGACAGAGCTTGAAAGAGTCTCCAGATTAGCAGAGCAATTTGTGACAGGAAAAACGTASTTGTAGTTAGATGAATGGATTGCTTACCTTAGCAAAACTGCTGTGGGTAATGTTAAACCTGAGTTACTTTCCAGAGTGACAGTCACAGTAAATGCTCAATCTTGGAGACAGTTTTTGTCTCGGCCACACCTGTGAGGTGTGAGAATAAGCCTACAGTATCATTTTCATTGTTTTACTGACCTCACCRTCCTTTATTTTCAATTATATACTAAGTCCCTCAGTGATGCTTAACTTAYCTTAAGTGCAGTTGTTTTTAAGCCATCAGCATACCCAGCTGGTAAGCTTTATGTGTCATAGAATACACAGTTAAGTGTATTTTTATTTGGAACTGAAGACAATATTTTCCTTGATTACAGATGAAGAGGTAGAGTTGGATTGCAGCCTCGACAGAGAYATAATGGACTGCCAAAGAGTATATTGGGAAAGAGAGTTCAAACCCGTGGCAGAAAAACTTCTTGACAGAATTCAAAGCCATCACTCCTTTCTTCCAGCTGAGCCTATCACTTCATTTTAATCAGTTGGTTTTTTTTGTGGTGTAAATTGTATAGCTTTGTATTTCTAATATACCTGTACATTGCTATTGGTAAGGTTGTGGGAGAGAATGGCTATTTAAAAAAAAAAAAAAAAGGTCAGAAAAGTCTGGCATTTATGTACTGGGTGCTATCTTTTGAAGAGCTTGTGTGGAATTTTTGCATGTGTAATTAATTTTTACAATATACTTGAGCTGATGAAGCAGCTGTTCCATGTAACTTGTCTAGTAATTGCATCATTCCTTGACTGGGAAAATGAAACAAAAGTATTTGCTGAACTTCTGATTTKTAAGAGGTAAGTTACGAGTGAGAACTCAGAGCTGTGTGGTACCAAAAATGCTGTGCAATCCAGAATAATGTTGTGTGACAGGAATTATATCTCATCTACAGATCTTGACACACTTCTACCTTACTTCTGTGACTGAGTAGCCCAGGTGCTGTTTGGGTATTGTCCTGTGTTCTTCATGAGCTTCACTCTTCAGATTGAATGCTGGGGTCAGGGTGGCCACCCCGCTTTCCTTGGGAGATTCCCCTTCCTTCTGACACTGTGGGGTAGGGTCTAGGGTATCCCAGCTAATCCAGCTGCTCCCTTGATGCGTTTGGGATATGGGTCCAGCTGTGCTGGTCTTTCCTGAATTGGGATTTCACATCTTAAGGCGAAGCACCCATATCCCTGGTGTGTCAGAGATTTTGCCTTCTTTCAGTGCTCCCACACACCCAGGAACCGCCTCTGCTTCTCAGACTTCTTGGCCAGCTGTCTTCCTGAACCTGTGTATCCATCCATGGGACCAAAACAGGCCTCTTTCTTCCTGTTCCTCCTGCCTGCTGCTGGCKTGTTTATTGCTCAGTTTTCATCCTTCCAGCAGTAACAGTCCATGCTTGTTGCCCATGGATTAGCTCAGCAGGCGCATCGCTGGCCTGGAGCATTAACAGCCCAGTTGGCCWCAGCAGGCTTTACAGGCCTGACCTATTTCTGGCTTTTCTGACCTCAGATTACTAAGAATAAATTGCTGTGCTGGGGCTGCCGGGCTCCTGCTCCCTGGGGTCAGCAGCGTCGCACCATGCTGCTACAGCAGGAGCGGCTCCAGCCTGGCAATCCTGGGACAGGCTGGAGGAATTTGTTGTTCTGAGGCAGCAAGTCAGAGCTCTGTTTGTGGCACTGTTCTCTGTACCTTTGGTAGTGCCCAGGCCTCTGCCTCCAGGTGAGGAGAGGAAGTGAGAAGGGCRGGGAGACATTTTTCTAGTTTAGATCGCTGCTTTTACCGGTCAGGGGAGGGGAGATTTCATGGTCCAGATTTTGGGAGGAGCAAGGATGCAACTTCAATGAAAGTGAAAAAATTTGTTGAATTCTTTGTGTCTCAGCAGCTCAGGTGTTAYTTGTACCCAGCAAGGCTCAGCTCTGCAGTGAGTGGCTTTGGGACCTTGTGTGGTGGCAGCCTCTGKCACTGCAATSCACAGGAGAGAATTGCTCAGCAGTTCAGTGTGGTTTGGCTCCAACAACAGCTCTGCTGAGCTCAAAAATATCTCAATTATCATCCCTTCTTTAGCCATTTTAATTTTAGCTGAAGGGATGATAAATGGCTTCAATGTCCCATTTGTTTGTGGGAGAAAAGAATGGATTTGCTGTGGGAGAGTRTTAAAGAAAGGATGATGGGTAAGTAGTCCCTGTGGGGAGGGAGCTGGAGGCATTTGTTCTTGGCATTTGCATCACAGCAAGGCAGGCAAACACCCGGCTGTGCAGGGCAGGGTGGGGGCGCTGGAAAAGGCCCCGTGGCCAAGCCCTGTCAGCAGGGCTAATCAGAATTGACAAGGGCTGAGTCTCTGKCAGAAGGCAGCCGAAATTGATGGCTGCCTCAAGTCAAGGTGGTGTTTGGGCAATTAGGGTTCGTTCAAATAAGACACTAATTATGTCAGTTATTACTGATCAAACTGTAACCAAGGGCCTGGAGCACCATGTCCTGCAGCACAGGGCAGAGCTGGGGCTCCTGGACCCCTCCTGTGTGCGAACTCTGGCCTTTGCTTCAGGAAGAGGCACGTTCAGRCAAACTGGATAGAGAGGGCAGTGCGGGACTGAGCACCTGCAGCAGAGCCCTGCAGTGGCTCCCATCAAGCTTCACCAGCGTGTCTTTCTCTGGAAAAAAACCTGTGGGTAGGAAGAAGGCCCAGAATGCTGGAATTCAGGTGTGTTCTTACAGCATCTATCATTTGGTGTCTCTGCCACAGCCCTCAGTGCAGCAGCTCTCTCGTGTCCMGGAGCCCATTCCTGTTCTCCCTTGGGCAGAGGTGCCAGCACTGCAGCTGAGGGGCTCAGAGGCTGCTGCACTTCACAGCCACGGGCTGGGACTCTGCTGGAGCTACCCAGGACTAGTGGGTGCAGAGKCAGGAGTGCCTGCAGGTTGTGGCTTGTGCTCTGATGGCAGCTGTGAAGCCACTCACACACAGATATGCTGCTTGAAAAGAGAGAGGGCACGTGCATGGGGCTGGAGAGCATAGGATGGAAATGGTCACTTCAGGTTTCTTGGAAAAATTAATGTCTACCTTTGACCTCAAAAAGCACACTGAGGCGCTGCACAAACTCCATTCACAGMCTGGAAAGGCACAGCTCAACTGTACAATGCCCTTAAGACAGGAAAGTTTTGCTCTGTTTTTGGAACATTAAAAATCCTGTATTTTCAGTTAGGAGGAAGCACCAGATGCTTCCTGTTAGTCACAATTTTTGACAGTTTATTAATCTTTCTCCCCTAGCTCTTTTTAGATATTTTAGCTTCTTGGACTGTAAACTTAAAACAGTTCTCAGAAGGTTCTGCAGAAAGAGAAACCAGTCTGACTCAAAACCCAGGCCAGGGGACAGAAATCAAACTGATTCTGCTTGTGGGTTTGGGAAAATTCATTTCACACAATAGGATCAGCTTAGTTGGAAAGGACCCATTAGCATCATCGAGTCCAACTTCTGGCCCTGCACCAGACACCCTGCACAAKAATCATCCCTTGTGCCTGAGAGCTTTGTCCAAATGGGTGAAAATAYCTGCAGTACAGAAGAGGTGTTCCCACTACAGTATTAGATCAAGAGCTTCACTATATTTTTAAACTTCTCCCCCCATTTTAGACTCAGTCAAAAAATTCACAGCTTGTGATTTTAAGTATGTTTGCTCAGTTACTGTTTCAAATGTTTTTAAATCGTCTCAGAACCAGTAAGAACAGACGCTTAAAGTTAAACCACACAGAAACACCAAGAGAAAAAGTTGTTACCTTTATTTCAAAAATAACCAGTAATACTGACAAATTTAAAAAGCAATTCACACTCATACAAAAGTATTCATGTGTTCTCCAAAACCACTGTATATTAAACGTCAGCATTTTAATCACGTTTTGATTTACTAAAAATAGATGTTTTTTAGCCTAGTTATTTAAGCAACTGCAAAAATCATTAAGACCAGCGTTGGGCATGTAATACAGTAGGACTGTTTGGCAGTCTAGAACAACATTCCCACACCTTGTCCTAGCTCCTTCTTGGTTCATCCATGAAAAAGAGGACAAGAAGCTACTCAATACTTTTTGTAGGTAGAGCTCTATATAGTTCTGAGGACTCTAGTCCCCTTCTTTCCATAGGAAGACCATTGCACTTTGGAGCACACRAAATAATGGTGAACAAACATCCTRTTTTTAAGGCTAAACTAGTTGAGAAAATTGACTGCTATCTTTCAAATTATCAGTGTGGACAGAAGAGGTTTAGTTCTGATTAAACAGGGAATCTAAATAACAAGGCGTTTTTGAAACCACACACAATAAAGGCTCAGACAACAGCAGTGCTCACTTTCACTTCTAGCTTAACTGAACAGCCTGGGTCTGTTCACTCCACCTGCACAAATAGCAGCATCAAGATTCTCTAAAATTATTCTCGTAGGGAAAGCAAATGTCATCAAGGCCCAGTTCTTTTTGTGCTCCAACTCCCGCGGTGTTTGCCTTAACACAAGATCTACGTATCTATCGTTTGCTATATTGCCACAAGTTCAGAGAATGTCCCGGGCTGTCTAAAGCCAGAATACCATGAGCAGGCAGCACTTCTGCACAACCCTGTCAACTGCCAAGCGTTCACTGCCCAGTGGCAGCAGTGATATTCCATRTAGGAAATAGCTGAAACTAAAGGAGTTATGGCACAATGGGCATCTTAACTTAGAGCTACTGTTGGTCCTGAGGCTTTGTATCTTCCTCTGCCCTACTGCAGCTGCAGAACATTCCAACGTCAACAGGCAGCCGGAGACATCAGGTCATATAGCGAGTAATAGCTCTCAGAGCATAAAGTAGTTCGGCTTGCATCCGAGCTTCTACCAGAAGCAAATTTACATGGACCTTCAGGAGAGAGAAGAAGGTACTTTAGCACATGTTCACCATTACATGCCGCYGTCAAAGGAAGCCTCGGGGCTGTGGGTGTTGTGTTGGTGCAGCAGCAACAGCAGCAGAGCACTGCGTGCGTCACCACCCAGGCCACCAGATCTCGCAGTGGAGCTCACTGAGAGGGGCAGAGGGACGAACACAACTCCTGCCACTGTGGCACAGAGTGGCACCAGCTCACAAGCACACCTAAGGCAGGGTCAGGTCCACATGAAGTGGAAATCATTGTTTAGCAGACCAGCTGTTTTAGCTGGAAAAAAAGACAAGCTTTCAAGCATGCAAGCCCTTCTTCAGAAGCCCAATATGCATAGCTTGTTCAATTTTAGCTTAATTAGGTGAGTGATTAAAGGCAGAAGAGCAGTGGGTACCTGCAGAGCAGAGGTGAGTGTTAGCAGAGGTGACAAGGCCATTTGTCCCTGGGGACAGAGAAACATACAGGCAGTTACCACCTGAACAAGAATGAGTGGTTGGCCAAGGTGAATCACCAGGAAAGATCTCCAGTGCCATWAAACTGCTATCTCTACTGCAGCACAGGTGTTCAGTAGCTACTGGAGGTAAGAATTTTAGTTCCCCAGCTCATCTCCTCAATGCCTTTACTCTATTTCTTTGAGGATGAGATCAGAAACTGTGTGGGGGAGGGTGTGAAAGTACTTTCTCACTAATAGCAGGTTGCTGTGACTTTGCTCTGGCACGTAAGGGCTCTGTGTGGTTTCATTTGCATGATCTCTGTGAGGATGTACGGTTATTGCATTCAGAGACATGTATGTGAATCAGCCTTGGATTTGGATGGCTATGGAGATGCAAAGTTTTGGGCTTTAAAGAAGGATCTGTGTTCTTGAAAAGCTCAGCTATCA